CATAGACGCGTTGTTCCCCAACCCGCGCCATTTAGATGTGTTGGTCTTTCATTCTCGAGACCCCCCCGCCGCGGGGGGGGGGTGGGGGAATTCGGGAAGTTGAAGTCCACTCATCTTAAAGTGGCCAAGTTTGGACAACACTGCTCTAGGGCAAAAATGCCCCAACAACAATAGCCTGATGTTGGAAAAGTTGTCTCTGTTTCTTTCTTGTCTCTGGAATGGTGATAGGAAATAATTGGAAAAGGCACTGGAAGCCATTCACAAAGACAATCCATGGGCTTTGCAGCTTTTGCTTGCAGTTTAATTAACATCCCCCTCCAAAAAAACCCACCCCTAGATTTAAACAAGTCACAAAGTGATTTGCTTCCAATGCTGAAATCATTTCTTTTTAACTCTGTTTGGGTAGAAAGGGGTGGAGAAGAAAGAAGGAATGCTTGACAATGCATTTCAGCTTGATTGCCAATATTTTCTTTGATAGGACAATCTCAGTGCTCTGCATTCTTGCTCTGATGTAGAGTTTTGTTCTGTGTTAAACATTTCTATAGCCTTTAACATTCTGTCAAGGCAGCTTTTTTTTTTTTTAAAAAAAAAATGTCCTTGGCAGACTGGGTTGTATTGCAGCACCAGAGTATGTCTCATACATCTGGCTGAAATAGAAGAATGCCTCTCCACCCATGTAGTCCATCCCTAAGAAGAAGAAACAGCCAGGGAAGGAAATTTCAGTTTATTTTCTCAACTTGTGCTTTATTTGGATGCCATTTGAAATCCAATTGCCATACCTTTGTACAGACCATTAATATCACAATATATCATATCTGGGATATGATAAAAAAAACCTACTAGTTTACATGGTACTGAAGGAAAGATAGAAATGGGGGACACTTTTACAAGTATGTATTTTAAAGCTATGTGGTTTTGGTTTGGTTTTTGGTTAGGTTATGAATGACCCTACTAAAAATGCAAGGTAATTGTTCAAAAATCTAGAATACTCATTTGTCATGTATTCTTTTCAGTCACTTAACAGAAATGAGAAATAATAATAATAAAACAACCCTGAAAAGATTAGAATAACTTTTGGAAGCAACTTCTGACTCAGAACTTTGGAGACCCTTGCCTCTGGAATGACATACATTTTTTTTTCCTTTTGGTGTCTCCATCCAAGTATGGTGGCTAAGCTTGGCTTTTTGAGTTCACATCCCAGGACTATTGTTTAAAAGTGGAGTTTAGTGATTTTCTTCCAAAATGTGGTGATTAATGGAAACATTAATGGAATGCCATTGTTTATTATAGAGGCTGGGTTTATTTTCCCCCCTTTTCACCTGTTCGGAACATTTAATTAGGCAATAGCCACTGATAATTGTAAAAGGGGCCTAAAATACTAATGTACTAAAATATTGCATGTGGGGTGTTAAGTATCAGGTTAATTCCTCTTCCCAATCAATTTTTTATATCCTCAAACCAATGTTCTTTGGCCTCTGGGCATGCTGAATCTGCTATAGATTCTTTTCTTAAACCCCTTTTTTGTTCTTCTGCAAATTTTAAGGTTTCTCCCAGCCTCAAAGAAGAGAATGAGTCTAGTGTAGAGATGGTGCCATGCCATTCTGGCTATGTAAGTCTCTGGTATTGAGATAGTTATTAGTGTATCTGATGATAAATACTTATTGAAGTATTCTACAAATTAAGAACTATAGGAGAAAGAGATAAATATGCTCAATTTTCATATCCGGTCATAGCTTATATGTCACTATATTAATAGATCTGATTTGTATACCCAGCTTCAGATGTTAATGGACTGACTTCTATCTCAGGAGAATCTGATTCTTTGGCCATTGCTTAGTTCCTCAATTGCTTAGTTCTTGTTTGGATGAACAAGATGACTACAAATTGCTTGATCTTGTCTGAAACAAGGAAGAGTCTTGTATCTTGATTGAAATTATCACAAGATGAGAAAGCTATTTTGGAAGAACTCTAAATGCAAGATAAATTTTAAAAGAAAAATTATATAAGATCAGATTCTAGTTCTGGTTAGTCCAGCAGCCTCCTTCCTTCAATGGCCAACCAAAAACTTCCAAAAATCCTAAGAGCAGGACTTGAAGATTATCTTCATTAGACCTTTGGATGCATCATAAAAACATTTGGAACCTTCTTTTCCTGAGTCAAAAGTTTACCCCATCTACATGCCCCACCTTTTCTGCAAGAACTGATAGGAGGTTATGGCTAGTTTTATTGTGCTGCTATACTTAGTTTTGTTGTAAGGAGCCAGACTATCACTTCTGCCTTCCACTTCTAGTCAATGTATTAAGGCTTGATGCCAAGCATGTTTCTACTTGCTCTTCCACCATAGATTTGTTCTAGTATCGCTTTCTTGCCTTTGGGATTCTTTCCTTATAGAGGAGACCCCAAACTTGGAACTGACAGAGATGGAAGGCTATGCCATCAGACGATTGGAAGAACTAGGAAAGGCTAATGAATTAGAGTGTGTCATGCATGCTTAATTCTCTTTTGCCATCTTTTCTGATGGTGATCTGGTGCCCATCTATTTCATCCTTTGCGGAGCATCAATGCTATGAAAACCCTCTGCAATCATTTTTTCATGCATGTGAAAAAGCTTCAGAGACTTTTTTTCATGCTCTTTCCTTAGCTTTCCTAAGGGAGTTGATGAGTCTGTCCTTGAGTCAATTCTAAAGTGTCCAAGGTGGAGAGAGCAGGATTTGGCAACCCTTAGGAGGCCCTGATACATGGGGGGTTTGTTTATTTTTTCGCAGAGCTGCCTGCTTGTCAGTCCAATGCAGTAAGAGGAATTGAGGGAGAAGCCCATTCTCCACACAACATACCTCAGGAGATTGTATCTTAGAAGAGAAGCTGAAAGCAGCAGCAGCCAGTTCTCTCACAAAAGAGATCAGTAGTTGACTTGTTTTACACTAGTCTACCTTCCTTAATAATTGTCTCCATCTTTTTTTTTCTCTTCCATTTTGTGTAACCTTTTCTAAGGCAAGAGCCATGGGTACTGACGTATATTATTCTTTTTGTCAGAACAACACCAGAAGGAACAGCCTTATGTATTGCTGTCTATGGCAAATGATGATCCGTCTTGCTTTGTTTGGTAGAAGGTGCTCTCGGCAGTGTGTCTGTTTCTTAAGCGTGCTTTAAATATTTTGATACGTTACATTTGGTTGCTTGTACCTGGGCATTCTCTCTTTCACTACTTTATGAGCCATCATGGCCATATCTAGCTAAAATGAAGCCCTTCAAAGCCCCATTAATTTAAGCACGTGGATAATCTTCCATGAAACAAGTAGTACTTCAGGGTGCTTAAGGATGGACTAGATGATCCTACTGTGCCTACAAATGGAAAATGTGAATGCAACAGCAGCAATTTCGTCACTGAATGGATTTTACAGATCAAGAAGCCATTTTTCCCTCCTGATTCTAGAGCAGCCCTCGTTTTCCTCTCCGTGAAATAGCCACCATTAAAAAAAAAAAAAAATCATTGCCTTTTTCTTCAGTCTCTCCTCTTTTCCTTCCTCCTTTCCCCTTTGGTTGACTTTTTGGTTCTTCAGTTTCCCTCTTTTGCCTCTCAGCCCTCTTCTTTCTATCATTCTTTCCCCCGTACCTCTTTCCAACTTATACGTTGACACATCTGTTTCTAATTTAGACTTTTTTTTTAAAACAGTATCAGTTGGAAACAATGCACTCCTTTAAAATAGGAGAAATGAACTCCTGCACGAAATGACCCTCTCCAAAAGTTAAATAAATTGGCCCTGGGCCCTAAAACAATGATTCTTTGTGAAAAAGACAAATGAATCCAATATGTTCTTCCCCCCGCAAAAAACAAAAACCAAAACCCTCTGCATGTTGTGCATGCGTGTGAGAGAGAGGCAAAGAAAGAGTTTTAGAGAGATCCTCTAAAATAATTAAATTTGTCAACAGATTATGGTGTAAAAAGCCCAAAAGCCTATCCAAACTTTTAGAAAAATAGAGCTTTACATGTGGAACATGTGGGAGAAGAAAAGTGGGTTTTAACTTTTAGTTTAAACGATGAGAATCATAAAAGAGCAAGCAATTGAAAGCAGATGATCTCCATGCTCAGCAAACTTTGATACCAGCAGTTTTTCCTTGAAGAGCCCTTCCCTTGCTGTTTACTGTTGCCTTTGGTAACTTTAGGTTTTCTTAGCAAATTAAATTAAGGACAAAACAAAATTCTTCAACTTACCTAGGAAGAGGATGGAAAGCACAGACATTCCGCCTCTGTGAGTGAGACTTTTCCTTCCTATTTTTCCCCCACTTCTTTCCACTCAGGAATGACAAGCAGACCTGCTCAAAATTCAAAGCAGTGCCTCTGGAATGTGCTCTGGATAATTGCCTCCATGTGCCAGAAAAATATCCAACTTTGGTTTTCCTGCCCTTCTGCTGTTCATCCCCCATTCAGTTTCCATGCAGATATGAGAAGAGCTGCTCCTCTTTAGCCATCGATTCAGTTTGGAGCCTGTCAACATCTGGAAGAGGAAAGTCAGAGGCGGCAGCCGAGAGACACATCTAGGACTGCCAGAGTAATTTTGCATGTCTGGAAAGAAGAGGAGAAAAGAGCGGGGGGGGGGTAGAAATCTCAGCGTGCAAGTTTCACCACATGGCTGCGTGCTACAACGGCCCCTCCCTAGGATTAGCAGGGAAGGTTGGGCGTGCAGTGAGCCGTTCCTTACTTCTGGCCATTCCACAGCCCCAACCTTCTGGGGAAAAGTAAGCAGGCTTTCCTCGTGTCAAAAATGGTTAAAGAGATTAAACATGGAGAATCATCTTCCTTCAGCAGGCGAAGAAGAGATGAAGATTCCCTTTAAAAATAAAGCAAGCACCATGGCCTTAAAGATAAAATGTTGACTGCAGGAATGATTCACTAGACTCACTACAGCAAATACAGGCTCCCTGCAACCCCACCTCCCCTCTCCCCGCAGCCCCTGGAGCAGTCAGCGTGAACTGTTGAATTGTGATGGCACAGTTGCCAAAGACTGGGGGAATGGCTTGCCTTCATTTGGAAGCATACAAAGGAACCAAAGACTTTTAAACAAGTAAATGCTCCCTTAGCTGAGCTCAGTTCCTATGTCCTATATGGTTTCCTTGGTTGCAGGTAGCAGTACAGAAGATTGACTGTTGCCTCCTTCTAGGACATTTTTTCAACTTCCTATCCCAGCCCACAGCCTGGTGGTCTCCCATCCTCATATTAGCCAGGTCCAAACCTCCTTAGGGTTTGAAGATCAGCCAAAACTGCTTAATGCTGCCACCTAGCGGGGCACAATATTGCTGGTACAGCAACAAAAGGATGCCGGCTGCATCCAAAGACTGCATATATGGATGAAGCTTTATCCCTTTGTATCAGACCCTCTCTCGTTCTGGACTTCACCTCCTGCTGATTTCCAGTCATCAAATTATTTCCATCCCCAGCAACAGAAATTTACTGCCATCAACAAAGGAACAACTGCAACTGTCCCAGCCTGATTTTCCCCTGCAGCGAAATTAGTCTCTTCTGGCATAACCAGAGGCTGCTGCTGCTGCTTTTTTTTTTTTTTTTTTTAGTCTGCTCTGTGCATGGAAAGAGAAGCTGGAAGAGCTGAAGATGGCTGATTCTCACTCCTAGCCTTCTGAAATAGGCCTACAGCTATAGCCTTTAGCAATATTCCAACATGGCAATCCTGAAGGTTTCTGTAGCTGGTGGCATTAATTCAAGGGAATCAGTGTGGCTTTGCTAGGATCATCCATCTTCTGACATGATTATACAGCAGGATAACCACAGGGGCTTTAATCCCTGATGCCCTCTGTTCCAATCTCGGCTAGTTTGTGCAATTGTTCTTCAAGATTAGACACTCTGACTCCGCATCCAGAGCTGACGACCAGCCTCTTTGCTCCTACTGATGAATGTCCTGGTTGTTGACAAGAACTGCCAAAGTCAATCCATGGGAAGAACAAAGACCAGGAGATGAGAATTCTTTGGGTGAAGAATAGTACAGCTAATCTAATTCCTAGTCCTTTTGTCTTGAGTAGAAAAACAGGGCATATTAATCTGATGAGGTGACAGAGTTCATATGAAATCGCAAATATTTCATTCTGTTTCCATAATGACTCCTCTGGATTAGTCTTAATCAGCCTTCTTTCCAGAACTACTTCAGATCTCTAGAACATCCTCTGTTTCTTCAAATGGAGAGCAGAAGATGAAATTTTTTTAAACGTTATTTAATTAATTGCATTATACAAGGAAGATGAAAAGTGTGTGTTTCTTCTTTCATATTAGATTAATGGATGCTTTTTATATGGGAAATATTGGTATTTTAGAGTTAATTAACTTGGAATAGTAGGTCTACATTAACTTAACATAGTTTAAAAAAACAACCCCCCTCTTCAAAATACTTGGGAAAAAAATCTAAAAATCTCTGTGTGGTATGTCACACAGCTACACTCACTTTGTAGTACTGTATTGCCCCACTATTTATTTACTTGCTTATTTAATCAATTTATTTATAGGGCTATCCACTTGCCAGAGCAACTCTAGGCAGCTAACGAGGCAATAATCAATTGGATCTCTCCAAATGCTACGTAAGACCCCTGTCACCAAAACGTTATAGGAGAATCCTTTTGTATAGGATAGTTCTGAAAAAATGATTGAGGAAACATCCTAGCAGAAGAACTCTTTTTGCTTGATCATATGAAGCGTTTAATGTTGTTCTAAGGTTGGGGGTGGGTTGGGTTGGCACCCCATAAATAAATCAGTAGGATTTATTACCTCCTGTGAGTCAAAATCAAGACAATTGTCTTTAAGGCAGAAAGAAGCATGCTTTTATCTTTTATTTATGCAATTTCTATATCTCAATCCAAGTGACTCCGGGCGGCAAACAATTGCAATAATTAAAACCATTGCAGATTATATATATATATAGGCAGCTGAGATAAACATAAAAAATTACATCAAAGTCAACATTGCAAGCAGATAACGGGGCCCTTAACACTTTCAGGACCCCAGGCTCAGGCACGTAGCTGGGTTTTCAAAGCCTCACAGAAGGCTAGCAGGGTTGGGGCCATCCTGAGCTCCAAAGGAAGAATGTTCTGAAGGGCAGGGGCTCTGCTGAGAAGACATGCTTTCTGGTCCCCACCAGCCGACCTACCTTGGCCAACAGGATCTGCAGCATCCCCAATCTACCAGACTGAATTGAATGGGTGAAACTATTGGGAGAAGACGGTCCCTTAGGTAACCCGGTCCCAAGCCATGCAAGGCTTTAAAGGTGATGACCAGCACCTTGAATTGCACCTGGAAACACACCAGTAACCCATGCAGCTCCTGTAGTAGCAGCGTTACGTGTGCTGTATATCCGGCACCATTTACTACCTGTGCAGCTGCATTTTGCACCAGTTGAAGCTTCCAAATGCTCTTCAAGGAATCTTCTCTCTTCAGGGAATTTTATCTCTCTCTTGTCCAACCTGTCTTGGAAGGGAGAATGTTGGTCTCCAGAGCTGTCAGGCGATCAGTTTGCACCACTGTAAATGGAAGGAGCTGGCAACAGAATACAACCTTAATCTGCCAGACTTTAAAGAAAGTTTGTAACCTAGTTTTCAGCTGTCATGTTACCTTTTCTTAAATATTTACTTTAAGGCAGGAAATTAAAGTCGCTCATACCTTCATGGATTAACCCTGTTTTTTTGGGCTTGTACCTTTGTTTTAATTATCTCTTGGGATAAGCAGAAGGAAAATGGAGTGGAATGAAAAAGAAATAGTAGCCAATATATTAAAATGCTTCAGCTTTAAGCAGGTCACAGATGATGTCAGTTAAAGGTAAGTATTTCCTTAGCTAATGTCATACCTCAGCACTTCCCTTAGCTTTACTTGGTATAAGTAGATATGAACCAGAATTCTTTGATATGAGATGTTTTTGAAAGTCATAGAAAAGGAAGATTTTAAAACCACCTTGAATAAATTGTCTGTTACAAGTGAGTCCATCCAAAGTCAGCAGAATCTACTAGCAAATTTTAACTGTTGCTAAAAAGGAACAGCAGCACCTTGGTGTTCTGGTCCAGCAAATGAGCTTGGTTTTAATTTCCAACTTTTATTCTTGCTTAGCTGAACAGTTCAAACCGCAGTAGGGCTTTGGCCGAATTTTCCAGGTATGAAACCAATCAGTGGAGAAAAATGTGCATTTCATCCCTCCCCCTCCCTCAGATTCTGGAAACACCAAGCTTGTCATGCCAGATTATTGCTTCGACAGATGATGTCTCGAGCTCTGTCATCAGTGCTCCCCAAATGCTTCATGGTTTTAATAGAATCAATGTGTCAGGAGCTGAGGGAAGCCTTGTTCCCTCCAGTGTCTCTTGAAATCCTCAGAGGCTCCTGTAAGGCAGAGAATCAACTCCAGGCTGCTTTGCCCAGGCTTCAGCCTTGCTGAATTTAATGCAGCTTACTTTTCGATCGACATAGATAGAAGTCAGAGCTATGTAACAGGCACTCTCAGAACTATCAGCTCTGCCTTCCCAAGAATGTTGAATAAGTTAACGTATTGCAAAGAATGATAGGAAAACACTTATTAATTTATTTGATTTATAGTCCCACCCATCTCACTAGAGCAACTCTGAATGGTGAACAGAGTTAGAACGGTGGTGAAAAGAATGGTGAACAGAGTTAATATGACAAAAATTGCACAATGCATACATCATGAGAAGAGGAAAACAAAAAATGAGGATAACCCAACCACAATGAATTAGCAGTACCTTGCCAGCTTGACTGACCTCCTGAGCCCTGTGCCTGGGAAAAGAGCCAGGCTTAAGGGCCTTGTGAGAGGCCGGCAGGGTCTGGCCAATCTAATTTTGGTTGGGATTATCAGGTCACTCTTTTGGTTTGTCATTTGTATTTCCCTTTTAAGTTTTAAAACCTCAGCCAGTTAGTTTTGTAGATCCAGTGAAACATCCTTTTCTAAGTCATTTGGACTGTCAGTTGTAAATCCATTTTCGATACCATCTCTATCTTGTCAGATAAAATTTGCTCTACATCTGTCATTTTTTCAATAACACGTTTTGTACGTAGTCTATCCATAGAAGCAGACATCATTAGTGACATTGTTGATATTGTGGCTACTGATTTTCTGATTCCATTCTTCAAAAGCCCCCTTCAATATTTTCATTGTTATAACATTTTGCAACATTTTACAGGCTTGTAAATCTTTCCTCTACCTAAAAACTTTAGTCCCCTCTAGTGTCCAGTTTTTGAAATCATGAAATTGCTTATCTTTTGTCTTTTAAAAACCAAAACAGAAACTATTTTCCACGAGAACAATATTTTCATTGTTATAACATTTTGCAACATTTTACAGGCTTGTAAATCTTTCCTCTACCTAAAAACTTTAGTCCCCTCTAGTGTCCAGTTTTTGAAATCATGAAATTGCTTATCTTTTGTCTTTTAAAAACCAAAACAGAAACTATTTTCCACGAGAAGCTGTTTGTTTTTTATAATTAATTCCAATATCTTACTGTAAAAGTTTCAATATTCCAATTTTATCTGGATGCTCAGTCCATTCATAACTTTCT